CCAAGCAGCACCAGAGGAGCAGGAAAGCTGACGTTTCGGGCCTAGAAGGGCCTAGACCTGAAACGTCAGCCTTCCTGCTCCTCTGATGCTGCTTGGCCTGCTGTGTTCATCCAGCTCTACACCTTGTTTTCTCAGGTTAACTTGCCATCCTGGAGCAAAAGTTTCACTGCAAGTTCTCGCCCAACCTTAGCCCCATGAACATTGAAAAGTTGCCCCAAGTATCTGTGGTACCCCTCTGCCATTCAGAGATTTGTCATTCGATCTATGATCCACATCTCTGGAATGTATATTCTACATTGAGATTTCATTCTGAGCTCAATTGTATAGGTTTATTCAAAAGTTAAAAGATGTGCGTGTTTACATGAATCTCAAAACTAAGTTTTCACTGCCCTGAGAACCCATGTTTCCTGACTCTAAGTGAGTCTACAGCTTTTGAACCTGTACAATTGACTTTTTAGAAACCAATTTTCAAATGAAAACAATCTTCAAAACTATTCTGGCAACAAAAAAGTCTCATGCTATGAGTCAGTCATAGTCTGAAGTATGTTTAGCACTCTGATTTAACAGGGAAAAATTGGACACAATTAGCAGGTTACATCAGTGAGATGATCCTGATTTGAAACGAGTGCCCATGGTGAACCTCTAGTAGAATTAATCATTTATAAAGAAAAGCATGTTTGAAAATTCACGCTTTGTCAAATTATACCTTTCAGGGTGAAAAAGGACAACGTGGTTTTCCTGGTATTGAAGGGCTTTTGGGTCCACAGGTATTATTTTAACAGATTTAATCACACCTTCATTTGTGTTAAAATGTAAAATATTCATTTTTGTTTCCCTGCAATTTTTTTAAAAAGGGACCTGAAGGACCAACTGGGCCACAAGGAATACCAGGAATACGTGGAATAAAGGTGTGTAGTATCATTTACATTCCCAATTAATGTTAATAATAATTGGCTTGCGTTAATAATGTAGGTTGTTATGATTGGAATACTGTCAAAATATAACTTTTACTTTCACAAAACAGAAAAATTGCTTCCACTACTAAAATCATGGGATGAATTTTACACTCTGCATTTTTAAACACCCATCCCCTTCCCCTCCCAACCTCCACCAGCCAATATGTTTGAAGGTAAAGTAAGGGGGACATGGGCAGCTCACGACCTTCCCACCCAATGCTATAATACAGTGGGCAGATAAGGCATCAGGCATACCCACCCCTCAGACACGTATGAAACTATGGAAGTAAACGTCGCTAGAGGAGGCATCTTTTGATATGCACTGCTAGTCATTTCCCTGTGCCCTTTACTTTAAATGTTTTGCTGAAAATGAACACATTAATCTGGGGCTTCAGTGAATGCTGGGCCCATCAGTCTACCTCTTCAACCATTGAGATCTAAGAATTGAGTAAGAATCAATGGGAACAATGGAGAATAGAGTCTATTAAGGTATGGAAGAAGTAGTAAAGAGGGGAGAGAAAAGGGAACTCAAAGGGAGTGAAAAAAGCAAGAAAGAAAGAAATATTGTAGATAAAATTATTTAAATCATTGAGGCAAATTTACTACATTGAGTAATGAGGCTCAATAATTCCCTTTCTGGGCTGGCAAGGTTAATTGGCATTGCATTAGCCATTATCACCTCATTAAGAAAAAAATGCTCACATTGTTAAAGACAACCCCTAAAATGTATGTGGTATTACTGAACAACTAATGTGCAAATTTAACAAATTCTTTAAAATTATGGGAGGTTAATGGTGAACTGTTATTTGTGCAAGGCAAATGGTGGATCAGCATAAATCAACAGCAACTCATGGCATAACTCTTCTCTACCTGGACTTACTGCTGGCCAATTTGTATATTAAAGTCAGTGTGTGTCATGAACCTGCCATTACCTTCCCAGCAAGACTTGGCTCATTATAATGTAAAAGTTGACATTATAGGCCACAGAGCTAATGTAAAATTGTACAATAGTACTTGGACCTCTCATCCAGTTCCACTCTAATTACAAACAAATCCTCAGACTTACATACAGTTGCAATCCTAATGGGAACCTATTGGCTCTTATGTTGTTTGTTGGCTGCACAAGTTGGCTTCATTCGATGTTTTTCAAGTGGGTGGCAGTGCTGTTCATTTCCTAATGTTCACTAATAACTACACATAATTCATCGCAGTCTATTCTGACAGGCAAATGCTTGACTCAACTTGCACCTAAGTAATACCATCAAACCAAGCACTGACTGATAGATGAACACAGCAGACCAAGCAGCATCATAGGAGCAGAAAGGCTGATGTTTCGGGCCTAGACCCTTTCATGAAGGGCCTAGGCCCGAAACGTCAGCCTTTCTGTTCCTATGATGCTGCTTGGCCTGCTGTGTTCATCCAGCCCTGCACCTTGTTGTCTCGGATTCTCCAGCATCTGCAGTTCCTACTAACACTGACAGATAGATTTCATGGTTTATCAGTAATTACTGTAGAGCAGCACGCAAAACGCATGAGCGAATCTGTCCCAAAAATGACCACAATAAAATTCACACTTGGGAATGGCCAATCAGGGAAAAGTTAACTCCGTAGTAGAATAGAATGAAGTAGTGAGGAGTTGCTTTTCCAATGACAGGCTGCTTGTAGTCTGTGCTTGCTTGCCTCTGATTGGTACTGGTGACCCCATCAGCACAACTGCAGGGAAAGAAGCAATCTGTGTTTGAGAAAGGTAACTGCTGACAATGGTGGGTGTCACTGGGGAAGCATATGCCAGGGGCTGAGGCCTGGTGGTGGATGGGGCTGCTGGCAAAGTTCTGAGGAGGGTGTCGGTGTTTAAGGGGTGGGGAGGTGTTGAGGCTTTTTGTGTACAGAACCGTGTTGGTTATTTTGAAAACAAGTTCTGTTCCTAACTTGTGACTGTTACCTTCTGCCAATCTAAATACCATTGTGTCTAGGAAATTAATGCTTTCCTTGTACGTGGTGGATGGTTGATAATTGTTGAGGATTTGGCGAATTCTTTGCTTCTGTCAATGAGAGTCCAAATATCTGCACATCTTTGAACTGAGGGAGGAAACTGGAGCACCTGGAGAAACTCCATGCAGACATGGTGAGAATGTGCAAACTCCACATAGACAGTCACCCGAGGCTGGAATTGAACCCGGGTCCCTGCTGCTGTGCCACCCCATATATCACTTAATAAGGCAGTTAATGAAAATAGAAAAATTAGGCCCTGAAAACCAAAACATAGGCCCTGAAAATCAAAAGGTAATCCTCAAGAGGAGTCCTCAAAGAAAAAGGATTATTAAATGAAGACTGGGTAATTTTGTGGAAATTCTGAGACACAAACCATTTAAAAAATTCTTTGTGCATTCATCGGTCAAAAAGCTTGCACTATTCTCTGCCAAAATAACATTACTGCATACAAAGTGAGTACTCTCGATTTTATCAGCCACCTGGAGATGGGATGGAAGGTGTGAAGCCTTGCAAATTGGTAGCAGAAGGCATTAGGAGGGGGTCAGGTGTTCTGGTTGGCCACAGGATGTTTTCAGGAAGCTCAGAAAAACCTCGAGATGAGCAGCTAGATAAACCCATTATGGAGCCAATTACCAGACAGTTCCTTCACCCACCAGCATCTTAATATTGTTGGTAAGGACCGCTGCTACTTCGGGAGGCAGGTAAATTGTGGCAGCCTCCCGCCGTGTTCCAGAGTGGGGTGGGGCAATGTTCCTCCTTTCTGGTTGCTTCATAGTCAACAAAGAAAACTTTCTGGCAGCAACAGTAATTCCCATAAGAACATAAGAAATAGGAGCAGGAGTAGGCCATCTGGCCTGTTGAGCCTGCTCTGCCATTCAATAAGATCGTGGCTGATCTTTTCGTGGACTCAGCTCCACTTGCCCGCCTGCTCACTATAATCCTTAATTCCTTTTCTGTTCCAAAATCTATCTATCTTTGCCTTAAAAACATTCAACGAGGTGGCCTGAACTGTTTCACTGGGCAGGGAATTCCATAGATTCACAACCCTTTGGTTGAAAAAGTTCCTCCTCAACTGAACTCCTAAATCTGCTCCCTCTTATTTTAGGACTATACCCCCGAGTTCTAGTTTCACCCACCAATGGAAAGAGCCTCCCTGCCTCTATCTTATCTATTCCCTTGATAATTTTATACATTTCTATAAGATCCCCCCTCCCCATTCTTCTAAATTCCAATGGATATAGTCCCAGTCTACTCAATCTCAACTCATAAGTCAACCCTCTCAACTCTGGAATCAACCTAATGAACCTCCTCTGCAACCCCCCACTCCAGTAGCAGTACCTCTTTTCTCAAGTAAGGAGACCATGATTCCCCATGGGTATGGTGCCAGTGCTGGAGTGTTCACCTGCCCCCAGTTGTTAGAGCCTAGCCCTAACGCAAGAAGTTAAAAAAACTTGCACTTCCTTTGACAAGATAGTACATTTGAGAGAACAACTGAATAGCTGTTTAGCGCAGATGAGGAAATCAGATCGTAATGCTTTAGAATTCAAACGCATGTTTACTTGAAGATGCCAGCTTGCTACCATCTAATTCAAACCAGGGCAAAGTCGGGAAAATAAACTGGGTCAAAATTGGAAACAAAAAAACTGAAAGAACTGCGGAAGCTGGAAATCAGAAACAAAAACCAAAATTGCTGGAAAGACTCAGCAGGTTTGGCAGCGTCTGTGAAAAGAAATTAGATTTAACATTTCAGGTCCAGTGACCCTTCTTCAGAATTCTAAGGGCTTCAGTTAGCAAAGGGAACTTCCTATCTTTCATGTATCTGAAGAAAGATCACTGGACCCAAAACATGAACTTTGATTTCTCTCCTCAGATGCTGTCAGATCTGCTGAGTTTTTCCAGCAATTTCTTTTTTTATTTGCGTCAAAATTGGATAGCCCATGAAAATAGGCCCTTGAATTAAAATACTCAATTGTTCATTGATTTTCCTCGAGGCAGCATGTTATGCATATTAATGTGAATGATTGTAGCTCGAAGACCAACTCTAAATGCAGTGTTGATTGGCTGCAAACATCAGCAGGGTATCAGCACACTTTGTGATGCTTGCATTTCTTAAAGCTAAACTGCACTTCTTAAAGTTGGCTTGTACTTGTTAAAGGGGAGCTGCAGTCTAGCAGAACTCATTGCTGGAAGTGGCTGGGGAACTCTGTCTGACCCACAGAAAAAAGGACTGTGGTGCAGAATATTAGAAAGGACATGACACTGCTTGTTGCTCTTGAAGCAGGTGCAGGGGAAGGTAGGTAAGAGACTGTCACACATTTCCTTCTGAAATGTGCCTTTGCAAACGTAGTCTGGAGAGAGATACAATGGTTCATCCCAAATAGCTCCATGGTGCCGGACTCTGTGCTGTACAGTCTGTTCTCCAGGATGCATAATGAGTCAATCATCAACTGCGCCTGGAGGACCATCAATTCGATGAAAGACGCTCTTTGGTCTGTCCAAAACTTGTTGGTCTTCCAGTGCAGAATGTTGATCTTGACCAAGTGTTGCAGACTGGCACATTCCAAAGTCTAGGACTAGGTGCTGAAGGATGCACTAAAGCTTGGGGCAGCTGCTGCCAAGACACAGTGGGGAAAGACTACCACTTAAGGCCTTTTTGCTAAAGTACAATGGGAGTCCTTTCAGTTATCGGACCCTCTCGTTGCCTCAAATGTAAGTAAATGTTGCCCTGCACAAGTAAGAAGTGCCTTGGTTTTTGTTTGGAACTGCAGTGAATGCCAAATTCTTTTGTTCTTTACATGCAAGGACTGTACAGAACTGCTTCAGCAACTGTTTATGTATATAAATATTTTTTATGAGTAAAGTACATTTTTGCAATTAAAAAAGTATGTGAGAAAGGATATTCCGATTTTCTTGAGACATTGCACTGATTGCAGGTTATGGAGAGGAGGAGGAAAGGTCAG